TTTATAACCAAGTGTTCTAGGAAAGGACCGTCAAAGCCATGGATATAGCCGCGTAAATAAAAATCCACTCCTGCATTTGGCCATTGAGGATTAGCCTGGCAGCTGACTAAGCAGTTTGCCAAGGAAGAGGCTTTAAAGGCTTTTAACACTTTGTGCTGCAGATAACGTCAGCATCATCTCATGGATTTCCCGGCAGCTTACAGGTATTTAACAATGGTATTTAAAAGGGCTTGGGAGTGATGTCTTGTGACAGGTAAACTAAAGCTTCGGGCGACGGATGTGTCTTCTCCCTGCTTGTGTACCATTGTGCCTATTGTGATGAATTTAATGGAGACAGACAGATGAGCAGGGAAGAAATCAGCGATGTATAATAAGTGCAGACACGAAGCCTATTCAACATGCGCCGGCATCACAACACAAATATTGGATGCCGGTGCGTGTCGGACAATGAAACTGGTCCAAGTCTTTCCAAGGCCGAATATGTAATGTAGACAGAAAAAAAATAAATATATTTACTTATGCTGAAGAGCATAAGTAAAGCAATATTCCTGCAAGGTAATCCAGAGATGTCAAACGCAGAAATACATGACATTTGTTCAACAATGTCGAAAAACAATAATTTAGAAAAGAAGAATTTCGTTTTGAAGTTTAATCTCTTTATTATTGTTAATATGTTGATGCATATTCTTAAGATCTGACAACATTTTTTTAAAAGTTTCATTAAACTAAAAAAAAAAAAATATGCAAAAGCAATACAAAGTCAAAGTTTAAAACTGAATGCACAATGTTGCTTTAAAAATCTGTCCTGTTAGGTAGTATTTGCAATATATATTCCAAAACATTTATTTTTTTCATTTTAGCATGAAAACTTAATCTGGAAATAGCTACCAAATTAGAATGAAATGTTCAAATTCTTGTTTTACTGCTTATCTTTCATAATATCACCTTAAAAGTATTGATAAGTGGAATTATTAGTTTTCTGGGGGATTTTTGCTGCTCTGACAATTCTGTATGTGTTTTTAAGCATGTGAGATTCACTGATTTGTGGATTTTTGTGAAATTATTCCCAGAAAACCCATATATTCACAGATTCTTTTAAAACATCTTAAATATTCGAAAGCGAATGAAGCCTGGGAAGCTGAAATACTTTTATCCCACTTGACACATTTTTCTTTGCACTGATTAACTGTACCAAAGATTGTCGATATTAGCTTCTGCAGTACTGCTAAATGTGATTTCTACTGTACGCATTAATATGGATTAAGGCAGATTTGGTTATTTTTAGTCATATTTCTTCTCTTGAGTATTTCTCATTGTGTATCATGCTGCTTGTGTTTATGACACTTATGAACAGGGGAAATGCAGTTACCTATAAAATAAGTCAGAAATATGCATTTGTTTGATCATAAACTTTATTGTTATGAATTTCAAAATAAAACTCTGAGTCCATATCGCCCAGGTCTAACTACTAGTCACAGTAGTACTTGTTTCATTATGATTACAGCAGTGCCCTCCATTGTCAGAGCAGCGTTGGGTACCATCTGCCTCCCATGTGAGGCAACATCCTCAAGATCCCCGTAGTCGCTGGCACAAAACATTTCCCCCCGATTCGTTGATCTAGTTATTGGTTTTGGACCAACAGGCCCTTGTTTATTGAGCACAGTGGTCTTATTTCTCCAACATATTCATTCTCTCAGGAAGTGGGCCCCCTCTCTCACTCCGCCTCAATTAATGTAATTCTCTGGGAGCTCACTGATTGCTATGAAGAGCTGCATTCAGGCTGCATGCCTGTGAGGGAACGATAACGCCAGATATCATTAACAATCCAGTGCTGCTAATGTTTACCAGTGGAGGTTATTTTTCATCTTAATGTGTCTGTCTGTATTTTTCCTAAATTTTGCTACCGAGGCTATGAGCAACATTTCCCCCCACCAACTAAACTTGCCAGGAAATAAGAAATACACAACATTTAGACTGATTATTGTTTAAATCCTCAATGAAACAGATTCAGTCACGGTGTGCCTGCTTTTGATCTTCTGCTTTTGAAAGAATTTGAAGGTATGATTCTATGTTTGGCTTTTTTAGGTCTTGTTTGTTGCCGTGGTTTAATGGGATATTTCCTTAGCCTGTTTCCTGGATTGCCTCTGTTTGTCTCTTCCCTCTCAGCCCACACACCTCGACCTAATTTGCTAATTATCATACCTGACTCGTATTAAGTTATTTACACCTTGAGCGGCAGCTCTTTGTTTTCTGTCCCTAGTCATGAAATCGCTTCAGAATTTGTTAGTTTCCTTTCATATGGGTCAGTCCGGCATCATTTGTCTTTGTTCTAGTTTTGTTTTGTTTTGACCACCTTGTTTTATTGTTTCGGTTTCAAAATTGTTTGGCTTTCCTAAAGACGTGTTCAAATGCCAGACTGCTGTACAAAACTTGCTGAATATGCCGACTTTCTTTACCAACAAGAAATTACGATTTAGGGTGCACAGTAGCGGCAGAAGTGGTCGGGATCTGCATCTACTTGGTTTTCCTCTCCACACAGACAGAATAAACCAGTCAGCCATGGTAAAAATAAAAACTCTGAAACACTGTCATATCTCCCAAAGCTTAGCGCAAAATTTAGGGCAGGCGAATTATGTGAGACAGAAGAAAACTTGTATGTCTGTTTTTGTCAGCACAACATTGACCGACGGTGCTAGGATACGACGTCTACTAACCATTGAGAAGCGAGCTAGCTTCTAGCTAACTGCTAGAAGCAGTTAGCTAGAAGCTACTTGCAGTGAGCTATGCATTTAATTGCGCAGCTCGATTAAATGAAATTGAGCTGCGCAATCCACAACACCCACCCATTTTTTTCTGCTGACTCTTAAACATTTCAATAAATCTGTGGAAGCTTGAGTTGTAGAGTCTTACTGCTGTGTCCCAAATCAGATGCTAAATCTAGCATTTAGTTAGTGTTTTGGTGTATAATGTTCAACAAATGTACTTTTAAAAGGGACATTTTTTTATGTTTAAAAACGAGATTCTTAGTTTTTCATGTAATTTTTGAATTCTTCAGAAAATACATTTTTAACATCTTGCGTAATCATTTTATGTTCTGTTGAACAGTCCTTGTTTTGTTTTGTGTTAGAGAATAACAGGACATGTTGACCTCCAGCTCTTGATTTGTTCTTTTTTTTCCGATTCACACCATAAATACATACTTTCTGGGTTATTAAAATACAGCTAAAATGGAAAAAATGTAATTCAGAAAAAAAACAACAACCAAAAAATAATAAAACCGATTTTATGGGGCCCTAAAAACATCATGGGCAACAGAAGTGAATAACAGCGTCTCATTTGCTAATGCGCACTATGTAAATGCCTTCATGATAGACGATGACAGATAGAGCCAAGCCTGGGGTCACTGCTTCTTAGGTGTCTTAGCATGCCACACAACACGCCCACGTCTCTCTATCTCTGCGCTCCCTGCACTCAGCACTAACTCAATCGATGACGTTGGGGAATAAGACTGATCACATATGGCTTGGGGCTGAATGCAGCCCAGCAGGCTTTGCCGCAGGTCTCTGATCTCAGACAAAGTCCCCTCAGTGTGTTTCGACATCACTTGATTACAGATGGTATCGTCAAATCCCCAATCTGAACTTCGACCTTATACAAAATTAAATGAAATTGAGCTATGCGATCCACAACACTCACCCTTTTTTTTTCCTTTTTATTCTGATGTCCAGCTGTCTGGTGATACACAGAGAAGGGGGAAAAATGTTATTAGTGGCCTGGCAGTAGCATGTCACCCCATAATTAGCTGTCAGCTATTTTTTTTTGTGATTTCCTTTTTCCCTTTCCTACAATCTCTCTCTAATATGTTTGTTATGGTTTACTGAATCTCACAAAACATCCTTCGTTGGGTTAAGAGGAAATACCCATTAACCTGTTTGACTTGCACAAATCCTGAAACGTAAACAAATATTAATAGTATCTGGCCCTAACCCTGTTGTTTAAATTTATCACCAAATTTTAAAATTATCCAGTTATCATGGATTTTTACTGATGCCGTTCCACGAAGCACCAACACCAGAAATAAATACGACTTGTTTTTTGCCCGAGAAGCTTATTTTTATCCATCCAGTACCCCCACTGGTGCACTGGTCTGTATTTTATCCCAAAAGACTGCATGAGCTCATTCTCAGCCACAGCACATACATCACACTTGCCACCATCGATCTTTGATTGAGTCCTCTTGCCTTTGCTGCTGCTAAATCCTCTGGTCTTTTGACTGGTTCAGCAAGGAAACACTATGGGCTGGAGAAAAAGAGACTTTTTTACTAGAACTAGGTACAAAAAAATGCTCAGCATATTTTCCTGTGACACAGCATAATGCGGATTACTAAAAAGAAGGCAGTTAATTCCACCTGAAGCTGCGCCTTATCACTTCTTGTCTAAGGGATAGCATCAACTGATTAAGTTTCTGAAAGGCGATCTGTGGAAATAATGCTCAGCAGTGCACTGCAGACTCAATGGGGGTGGTACAGCAAGGCTAATGTAGATTCCCAGAATGATTGCACCTTTGAATTTCTCGCTAAGATTGTGACTTCCTCTTTTTGACGTCTGTGAAGGACTTTCATTTTATAATGCCTTTTGAATCTTCTGCAAGGCACAGAATCCAAAACTGTCAATTCACTGAAGCCTGTATTCATCTTACGCCTACTCATAAATATTGTAATAGCTGTCATACTATCTGTCCGGTTCTCTTCACTGGAGTCACATGAGAAGGACATCCTCTTAGCTCCTATGATTGGTGCACAAACCAAATACCTAAAAATGTCAAGGCCAATGGATAAAACCTAAATTAAATTCAAACCTCTACGAGTTCAAATCTATAAAGCACCTGTGTTTGTATTTTGTTGTTCAGACTCAAGTACCCACTGTGGTAATTAAGTTTTTAAGATCTTTAACGTTTGATTGTCTAATAAACTATTTGCCATGTCTCTGCTTCTGCCCAGGTAACCGATAAGATGGTGGCCAGGGAAGCGACTGGGCACAGCTACCTGGTGGCTTGCTGGCAGCCCATTCTGATCCTGATGCTGGGCACCGTGCTTTCTGGCTCCACCACGGGGTGTCCATCCCGCTGTGAGTGTAACGTTCCAGAGCGCTCAGTGATGTGCCATCGTAAGAAGCTCATGACCGTTCCCGAGGGCATTCCGGCAGAAACGAGACTGCTGGACCTCAGCAAGAACCGCATCAGAACGATTAACCCAGATGAGTTCGCCAACTTTCCGAACCTGGAACACCTGGAGCTCAGCGAAAACACTATCTCTACAATTGAACCCGGAGCATTCAATAACCTTTATGGCTTACGGACATTGGGATTGCGCAGCAACAAGCTCAAGTTGATCCAGTTGGGTGTATTTACAGGCCTGAGCAATCTCACTGAGCTGGACATAAGTGAGAACAAGATTGTCATCCTGTTAGACTATATGTTCCAGGATTTGTACAACCTTCGCTCTCTAGAGGTGGGTGACAACGATCTGGTTTTCATCGCTCACCGTGCTTTTCACGGCCTTAACAGCCTCGAGCACCTGAGTCTTGAGAAGTGTAACTTGTCTTCTGTGCCAACAGAGGCTTTTACCCACCTCCATAGTTTGATCACTCTCAAGCTGCGTCACCTCAACATCAATTCCATACGGGATTACTCTTTTAAACGGCTGTATCGACTAAAAGTGCTGGAAATAGCTAATTGGCCATACCTGGATACCATGACCACAAATTGTTTGTATGGATTAAATCTCACCTCTCTGACCATTGCCAACACCAACCTGACCACGATCCCTTATGTAGCTTTGCAACACTTGGTTTATTTGCGATTTCTTAATCTTTCATACAACCCCATCCATACCATAGAGGGAAATAAGCTGCATGACCTTCTGCGTCTACAAGAGTTTCACCTGGTTGGAGGGAGACTAGCAATGATTGAGCCCTACTCTTTCCGAGGACTAAACTACCTGAAAATACTAAATGTGTCTGGAAACTCTCTTACCACTTTGGAGGAGTCAGCTTTCCATTCGGTTGGAAACCTGGAAACCCTGGCCTTGTATGATAATCCCCTGGCCTGCGATTGCCGACTCTTGTGGGTTTTCCGAAGGCGATGGAGACTGAACTTCAACAAGCAGCAGCCCACCTGTGCCTCTCCCGAGTTCGTCCAAGGGAAAGAGTTCAAGGACTTCCCAGATGTTCTGCAGCCAAATTACTTCACGTGTCGCAAGTCCAGGATTAGGGATCGTAAAGCCCAGCAGAAATTTGTTGACGAAGGAGCCATTGTTCATTTTGCTTGCCAAGCAGACGGAGATCCAGCTCCAGTGATTATGTGGCTTTCTCCTCAGAAAAAGTTAATCACCTCCAAGACAATTGGAAGGCTCTCAGTGTTGCCAGATGGCACCCTTGAGGTGCGCTATGCCCAGATTCAAGATAACGGTACCTACGTGTGCATAGCCAGCAACGCCGGGGGAAATGACACCTCTCTCGCTCACCTACACATTCATAGTTATTCACCGGACTGGCCCCATCAACCTAACAACAGTCTTGCTTTCATATCCAACCAACCCACTGAGACTCGTGCTAACGGTACAAAGCCCAATGTCCCTTTCCCGTTTGACATAAAGACACTAATCATTGCAACCACAATGGGTTTCATCTCTTTTCTTGGTGTCGTCCTGTTTTGTCTGGTACTGCTGTTCCTCTGGAGCAGAGGTAAAGGCAACACAAAGCACAACATCGAGATCGAGTATGTCCCACGCAAATCGGACGCTGGGATGAGCAGCACCACAGTGGATGCTCCTCGCAAGTTCAATATGAAAATGATTTAAAATCGTTTCTCGATTTTGGACGTCAGCACCAGACAAATTAGAGAAGACTCCTTTGCAAACCTGTCGGTTATGGTCTGTTAACATAGATTACTGCTTTTTTTTTTTCATCTAACTGGTGGACTTGACAAGAGACCAGTTCCTGACTTAGAACAAAAAAAAAATCAAGAAAAAAAAACAAGAGGGAACGTAACTACAGCCAGTGATAGGGTGGTTTCTACAAAGCCTGTCGGGGCATTATTTGAAATTCAGATTGATCATACAAAGATCATAGTCCTCCGGATATTGATTGGGGAAAAAACAAACTATTAAAGAAGAAGAAAGCTCTCCAAACAGTCAGAATACGGGGCCAGATCATATTTATATCATTTTATTTTTTTCTGTTCATTCCATTTCTTGTTTTCTGTGATGCTGAATGAATGAACGAGCTCACACACATACATACAGGTACATCTTTGTTTAAAATGTTCATACAATGTTTTAAACAAAGTCTTTTTCATTTGTCTTTTTTATTGTGTCACAGTGCTGATAATCTTTTGCTACAAACATACAAACAGAAATTCCTAGTTACAAAAACCGTAAAAAATAATAATAGGAAAGTAAAACACAATCTAATTACGACCACTGCTGTTGCAGAGCCAAGACGTTGCAATAAACGATTGGCTTCGGTTATAAGACCTTGGATTACAATTGTAATTATAGTCCTAGTAGTGCTTTATTGCAAAAACTGCTGAATTTTATTTTGAGTAGCTGTGTTTCAGAAATGCAATGTTTACAGACAGAAAGGAGAAGAAAACCAGTCTGGTGTTCTTTCCTTTGTAAAGTTGAATTTTATTGATGTATGACAAACTTTGATACACAATTCTCAACCGTCCTTTTTTCCATTGATGCTTAATGTAATATTAAACACAACAATTATGCTACGATCTCAAAAGAATGATCTTGTTTGGTCCTGTGGCCCAGAGACCAGTAAACTCTTGGTCCTGGGTGTTCATCAAGCATTTACAGATTTAACTAAACTTGAAACATCAAATTTCTGGTCAGTGTTTGCTAAAAGGTTTGAGGAGATTCATTCCAGTTATTTTTCGGTGTTTCTAATCCAGTTTCTTTTATTTTTTTATTCACTGCAGGTCTGATTGGTAAATTAACTTCTTACACTGGCGCAGTTTGTGCCCAAACCTTTTTCCACATTGTGCTCGACTCTGTTCGCGTGACGCCATTCTTTTGTCCTCTACCTGACTCCAAGAAATAAGAACTACTTGTCGTGGTGCTCCTAAAGCTGTAGAATATTTCCGTCATTGTTGGTTACTTCTCTGGAGTTTGTTTTTTATAATGAATTGTTTTCTTGTTTTGTTTCTGTTCTTTTTTTTTTTTTTTTAAAGAATTGACGATTCATTCATGAAAGTGCCCCTCTCTTTCCCTTCCCCCCATTTAAGCCATGGAATCGTTACCTTCTTGGATCACTTACAGGTTTGCTTCTCCACCGGAAATGTGCTTTCCGCGTCACGAGGGAGCGGAAGAACTCAAGCACCTTGAGCTCCCCCGGTCGGTACTGGATTTTAAATTGAAGGGTCGAAGCCTTAACTTTTTGAGTGCACACGACGGACATCTGGGCTTTACAAGTGTGTGTTGGTATACAGGCGTCTACGGTGGATGACACTACAGATAATGTCACGGTGATGGCTGGCAGCGAGGACGGAATATGCAGATGGGTGGACAGACGCAGATGGTTTCACCCGTGGAGCGATCTGAAGCAGCTTTGGTGTAATCCGTTTTGCATAAAGGAAAAGAAAAACTCAACTAAACTGGATGTGGCTCACGGTTCTCCCTCTTGCTGAATATGAATGCTCTTTGTTCAAAGTGTGGCTACTGTATCGAGCCTTTTTTCTTCTTTTTTTTTTTTTTTAGTCTCACGTGATCTGAAGGTGTTTGGGGCGGGTTCAAGTTTTTTTTTGTTTTTTTCCTTTATTTTTGTTACCCCCTTACTTAGTTTTTTTATTTCGACCCTGGACTATGTCCACCATGTATAGTCCAAGCCAACTTTTTACAAAAGAAAAAGATATTAAAAAAGAAGTCTATGGAAAAATACATTCAAATTGTTCTGTGCAATAAAGGTAATATGCAGATTTTTTTTTTCTTTTTTTTTTTCAATTAACAAAATTTTGTTGATGTTGAATTGTTGAGAATATGGTATGTTGTATTAAACAATCTATGGACTTTTTTAAAACATGTGGTTCTGGTTTTGATTTTTTATGTATATATATATTTCAGTGAGGAATTTATTTTTGGGATAAATCCTTGTTGCATACTAACATAAATTATTAATTAAATATTTCACGATATGCCACATTTGGATTATTTTGTTAAAATCCAGCATGTTAACATGTGACTGTAGTGCCTTATAAGATCATTTGTGAAACTTAAAACACTCTTTCCAGATCAGGACTGTCAAAAATCTAAGAAGAATCTCAAGGCGAGAAAATAAAAATATGTAGAAAACCTGGATGTCAGAGTTAGACGGGTACATTAAAAAAAACTGAAAAAATAACTAAATATCAATTCACTTTCCAATTCAATTTTATTTTATTTTTTTTTTTTGTTGAGCTTTATAACAAAGTCCCACAAAAAATCCATATAGTTTTCGGTCACAATATGGAACATTTTGAAAAACAATTCAACGAAACACTAACTTGACCTTGATAATTCAGGGCGAGCTGAAGCCTGGTCCACCTATCAGGTGCAGGATTTGAGAGCCATTGACCAAATGAACAATTTCCAGTGATGTTTGGATTTTCATTTGTGATTGAACGGCTCATTATATTCAGACAGAAAGGTAATTTACCATAATATGTTTTAGCTCTAAATGACTTGTTTTCAGGGAAAATTGCAGTTCCCCAGCTTTTCTTCTCAGCATTAATTACCCACCATTAGAAACGGATCACAGTCTTTAGAAAACGTTTAGGGAATATTAATAATTTAACTCAGTAAAATTAGAGAAAATAGCTTTTTCCTTTAAATAAGAATTTGATTCTGGGACAAGGCTCAGCTAAACGCGACCAAATCAGCCTGTTCTTTAAAAAAATAAAAGGAAAAGTGACACAACATTAGAAATTCCTTGTGGACAGTTCAACTTCATTTCTGCACTCTGTTAGGACTCCATGGGAACATTTGACATTCTTCTCTTTCTGTTAGACTGTCTCTAGTGATGCTCATGCATGCTGCGAGTGGAAAACAAAAAGGACTAATGGAGACTCTTTCTTGTGTCCTGTCTCTCCTTCAAAGCTTCCTTTCATTCTTCCACTCGTTTATTTTTCTTACTTTTTGATATTAGCTACGTCATTTGTGCGTCGCCCTGCCTTCCCTCCTTTCCTCTCGTTCCCTGATGTCATTTTTTTTCTTTCTTGTGGCCTCGGTTCGTTCCTTCTTTAAGTCCTTAACTCTTTCTCTTCTCACTTCTGTCATTCATTGTGACTCCCCTGAATCCTTTCATCTGTCTTTCACTTCATCTGTACAATAGTAAGTCATACTAAATGCTCAAATTAAACAAACCACATGTGTTGAAAAAGGAAAAAAGTGTAGAATATATATAAATGTATATAAAATGACTACAGTTCAACACCGAGCCACTGAGTTGTCTTTTTAATTAACTTGAATCAAAACTAGCATCTAATTAAATGAGGAGACTTTTATAAATATAGGGTTTCATCAGATTTCTCAAAATGAAACTAATTTGTAATGACATTAAGCTGTTAACCCTCTCAGGCTCAAATTACTTGCAAAGACTGGCTAAGTTCTTGCAAATCTGCAACACCTGCCTGGAGAGGGTTAAGAAGAGTAAAATGTTTAGGAAATGTTGACTTATTGTGTTTGTTTTATATAATCTAGAAATAACTTGACAACTGAAGTAACAAGTCACAGAGTTTGGAGAACTATACGTGCTAGGAATGGTGTTTTATTTGTTTGTTTTTTGTACACTGTTAGAGCAAAAGGTGTTATAGCTGAAACCTCAATTTTGCTAAAGCATATGACGCCTGACTTTGTCATAAGTGCAGCCCCTGAGGTCAGGGATGCACATAATTTTTTTTCTTTAGCCTATAACCAATGGTCAAACAATGCAAGTTGAGAAAAAAAAAAAAATTGCAGAAATTTTTTTTTTCTGCACATTCACCTTGGAAACGCCCTTGCTAGTAACGTTCAGTATAACTTCAACATGCCACATGTTGCGCTGAAAATGTAATAAAGTTGCACAGCCGCCCCGCCCCCCTCTTATCATGTTGAGCTTTGAAAATCTGACCAACATAAGCAGAAAGTCTTTTTTCGGGTTGATTGAAGGTTCTACACATGCATTTTAAAGGACTGTTTAGTTGAAGAGGAGAATCAGACCCTCAGATGGTGCGGAGTCGTTTCTTACCTCTGAGGCGCACAGGAAGCAAACAGAACTCTGTCATGTTTCAGTGAAACTCTGAATTAAAGTGGAAACATCCTCTGGTTCTGGAGCGAGCGGCGGCCTGTTTGGCTGCTGGGGGGCTATCGAGTGAATTCCTCTTGCAAGCATTGTTCCACAAACTGGACATGGCAGTTTATATTGCAGCGGACTCCCACCGACCGCATCTAAAGGTTAAAGGGGGCCGGCACATGAGGCACGAGCGCAGCAGGTCTGTGTTTATGGCACAGCTGATGGAACACAGCTGGAACGACAAAACACTCCTTTTCCACACAAATTCAATTACAAAAAATGTTTACGTGTCTGATTTAAAAAGACTTCAGGTTTCACACATGTGGACTTTGTGGAACCGTGTTTTGCTTGCAGGTCAGGTCTGTACCAGACGTCAACATGTTTCAACTCTGGTCAAAAAGGAAATATGTGTAATTGTGGTGTGGATTTAGACAGATAAGAATCCAATTAGATTCTTTTAGCCATTTTTTTTACAACGAAACTGACAACTTTGGTGTGTTGTTCCACTTTAATCTCTCAAATGAAATCCAGTGAAACTGCTTACAAAGACTCCACTAGTGGCTTCTTAAGGACGTTTTCACACCTGATAGTCTGGGAGACTCGATTAGATCGGGAACCAAAATTGCAACGTTCGGTTACGGTATCAGCTGGTACGGTTCACTTCAACGCTGCACTGTGTCAAACTGTCCAAACCACTGAACGCCTGTTCACCTCCTCACCTATGGTGGCGCTGCACCAAGAACCACTGAATGAAATGACGCAACTTCCTTCTTCGCACAGCAAAAATGGAGGGCAATCAGATTTTAGCAGATTGCAGGATTTCTCTTCAGCAGTTGGCAAAACACCATGGATCATTTCTCCTAGCGCTGGACTCTTGCTAGTTTTGGCTGTACTTACCCATAATTCCCAGCATTCCCAGTCTCTGGGCTACTTTCATTTAAACCGTCCCCGGAGTTCACTTCAACTGAGCAGAGGTCCAGGTTTTTAGGTGAACTAGAAATTGAGTTTCGCATTCACACCTCCCCAGACAAACCAAACTTTCTAAGCAAACCAACTAAAACTTGATTAAAGAAAAAGTGCGGAAAAGTTTGTCTATAAACCAACATCAAGGTCGGCGCGTGTCACTGGGCGACGGTCAACCCATCATCTGAAAATGGAAGAGTGTGCCACGATCAAGACATGGCCGTTCGCCTGAGCCACCTGTCAAGCCCGGCAAGAAGAGCGCTGATCGGGAAAGCAGCCAAATCACCTGCGGTGACTTTGGAGAGACAAGAGATCCACAGTTCAGGTGAGTGAGTTTGTTGATAGGAAAGTGTTAGTCGTGCTCTTCACTAAACCGGCCGTCAACGGCAGAGTGGGACAAAAGTCTCAAAAGCTCGCGAGAGAGAGAGATCGCTCAGATGAGAACAAGCAGATGACCAAAACGAAACAGACAGAAAACTAACATCTTCAACGCACTTTCTCCACACCGTATCCATGGCAATAGCAGCATCAAGCTGGGCGCGTGCTGCTCTTCGGCAGGGAGTGGAAACCTGGCAAGGGTTAACGAGAAGATGGCAGCAGATGAAGAAAGAATCCCGAACAATGACCTGGTAATGGCCAAAGGTGAAGGTTCGTCTTTCGAAAGGACAATAAACCCGGACACGCAAGTCCGGATAAAACGGTTCGGTCCACAGAACATGTGCAGTTCAGGCCCAAATCTGACTGCGAACCTGGAGACTCCTTCAACACATTACGGTGCGCCGGGACTCAGCCGCTCTGTATTATCGGGCTACGGAAACACAGCTGGAAAGTGGTTTGGACTCGGGCTGGTCAAACACAAACGGACCCGCACGTTTCAGATTTTCATCTGTAAAAAGAAAAAAAATCTGTTGAAAACGTTTTGCAGGTTTTGTTGCTTTATTACATGAAATGTAAAAAAAAAAACAAACAAAAAAAACATCAACTGCAGTTTGTGGTTGTAACAACAACAAAAAAAAACATTAAAATAACTTGATTTTTCCATTTGTAGTAAATTCACAGCATTCTGTCCAGACTCCTGATTTCATTCATAGAGGTGTTTTTTAAGTAAAAAAACAAAAACAAACAAACAAACAAAACGACCAACCTGATTCAACCTCATCCGCCTTCACTCGCATGGCGTTGGCTGCGTCGTCATCGGTTTATGGTTTCTGGCCGGACCCCGGGGGTCGTCAGGCGCGACCCGGGCCGGCGTCCAAGAGGACGATCTGTCCAGGCCGAATTTGGCCCGGGCCATATGCCGCAGCCAGGCAGGCTCTGCAGGTGACCCGATGTAGGCTTTTGATTTATTTAAAGACCGCATGAAAGAGTCATGAACTCCCGATTCAACAAAATGAAACAATAAAGAAAACTCAAAGCCAAACCGTCTGCCGTTAAATCCTTGTTTTTTTTTTTCTATATCGCCAAAATCAACTCTATCCCCAACAGATCGTTTGTGTTCGCCTTTACAGGACAACACATTGTTTCTAGGCAGATGTATTACCAAGGTGATCTGGGCAATTATTGCCAAGTGAAAATAGGTGAGGAGGTTTGGGGGCCGTTCGGTTCCATCACGCCGTTCCATTTCCAATTCTCCCGCTCCAGTCCTGAATATGCCACGGAGAAATAATTGAGACCTCAGTCGCTGTTTCACCTTGAAGTAACCAGTCTGAAAATAATTTGGCTGCTGCCTGCTCGCCTCAAGGACAGCGGGCTGCTGAGATTTGATGGGGTGGCTGAGACAGGTGCCGCTGTGAGATAGACGATG